GTTTGTTCCAGATATTCGGAGCATAATAACTGAATGCTGCTTTACCATGTTTAGTTCTGACTCTGGGGACAGAAAGCTGACCAGTCCCTGAAGACCTGAGGGTTCTGGATGGTTCATAATTTAGCAGTAGGTCAGACATGTATTTTGGGCCTAAACCATTCAAAGCTTTATAAACCAGCAGCAGTATTTTGAAATCTACTCTTTGACACACAGGAAGCCAGTGTAAAGACTTCAGAACAGGAGTGATGTGATCCACTTTCTTAGTGTCAGTGAGGAAGCCAGTGTAAAGACTTCAGAACAGGAGTGATGTGATCCACTTTCTTAGTGTTAGTGAGGACTCGAGCAGCGGCGTTCTGAATTAGCTGCAGCTTTCTAATAGATTTTTTAGTGAGGCCTGTAAAGACACCATTGCAGTAGTCGAGTCTACTGAAGATAAAAGCATGGACAAGTTTTTCCAAATCCTGCTGTGACATTAGTCCTTTAATCCTAGATATGTTCTTTAGGTGATAGTAGGCTGATTTAGTAACTGTTTTAATGTGACTGTTGAAACTCAGGTCAGAGTCCATGACTACACCTAGATTTCTGGCTTTATCTGTTGTTTTGAACATTGCAGACTGAAGCTCAGCGCTAACTTTTATACGTTCTGCCTTGGCTCCAAAAACCATTACCTCAGTTTTATCTTTGTTTAATTGGAGAAAGTTCTGACACATCCAGTCATTGATTTGTTCAATGCACTTACTCAGTGTTTGAATTGGAGCATAATCTCCTGGTGAAATTGTTACGTAAATTTGTGTGTCATCCGCATAGCTATGGTAACTTATTTTGTTGTTTTGCATTATCTGAGCCAGTGGTAGCATGTAGATGTTAAAGAGAAGAGGCCCCAAGATGGAGCCTTGAGGTACCCCACATGTCATATTTGTCAACTCAGATGTGTATTTACCTATAGAAATAAAGTTTTTTCTGTCCTTTAAGTAGGACTCAAACCAATTTAGAACTGTTGCCGAAAGTCCCACCCAGTTTTCTAGTCGGTCTAGTAATATGTTGTGGTCAACAGTGTCAAATGCAGCACTGAGATCTAATAATACTAACACTGAAGTTCTGCCACTGTCTGTGTTTAAGTGGATGTCATTGAAGACCTTTGCACGCAACGCAGCCCCGCTCTCTTTAACTCCAGGTGGCTTTCTGCCGCTTTCCTCCGTGGTGCAGTGATGATCGCTTCACCATGGAGGAAAGCACAAATTGCAGTACCCATAAGGAGCTGTACAAATGCAGCAGTTTTTGCGTGGCTGTGTCTTTAGTTGAAAGCCCAGTGGCGATCTGCTCATCTCTCATTGAAATAATATGCTACAAAGGGGCGGTCTGGAGGGCAAAAGCAACAAGCTTCAGGTTCAATAACCCACTTTAGCTTAAATGACTGGAGAGAGGCGAGCTCTTCTTGGGAGGCCATTGAATTTATTTAGCTGTTCTTCTGTTTCACAAAATACATCACAGACCTCTGTTTTTCTGCTGCCTCGTTTCACTTCCAGAAACATACACACGCTCGCTCACTGTCGCTCTACCATCCACACACACACATGCACACGCCACACCCCCCTCTCTCTCTCTTAAAGGGACAGCGATCTCATCTCACTCTGCCTGACCCTAATATCATAACATGTGTGTTCTGGAGAATCACAGAACGGACGATCGTCCTTATTATTATGCCGTTTAAACCAATTATTAAAATGTGTTTGTTAAATTCGGCATCATGTAAGTTGTGCTGACAGGTACACACACACTGCTTCGTGCTTCCCCGCAGCGAGGCTCCCCCCGCCCTCCTGTTGATAGTTCACCAGCGTCAAGCTCCTCAACTCCCCCCCGTTGATAATTCTCGATCGTTGGCACGCTGATAACAATACAAATTTTTAATGGCACTTCATATCAAAAAGGTTGCCGACCCCTGATCTATAACAATAGTCTTCATTTACACTATAGACAATAGGCATCATTTTAAAACAACATATATCTATTGCAGTTATGATACAATTGTATAAAACCACACAATTTGCTTACATCTTTGTTCTCTTTTGAGAATCAAACAGATTTAAATAAAAAAAAAAAATGCAAACAAACAAGTGAAATGAACTAAATTGCTGAATTGCTTTTAATTCACTGGCAGGAGCGACAAGTGAGAAGGAGCAGAAAGTGAACAACGAGGGAGAGATTGAACAAAGAGAAAGAGTAGAGGACAGAGAGAGTAATGAACAGGAAGAAGACAGAGAGACTAAAGAAGATGGAAGAGAGGCTGCAGGTTATGGAAAGGAGAGAGACATGGAAAATGAATGTTGACAATATTGTGTGATCATTTTAGCCTCTTCTGCATGTCCAGATCATTCATAGTAACAATCAACTGATTCTTATGCATTACACTTTCAAAAATAATGTATGCTGCAGCCCACTGACATGGTTTGAAATCAATATATTATCCCATTTGTGACCCCCCACAGGACTTAAAAAGCACCTAACTAGATCATGAAAATCCCAAAAATCTCAGGGGGGGTATATCCCCGAACCCCCCTAGCATGTTCGGACCTCGGTATTTAGGAAATCCTGGATACGGCCCTGTGTACGCCCTATACGATAATTGCCTGATAACGATGAAGCTATAGAGAGGCGAAGTCACGCCCATCTACTTCCGCCCCATGGGACCTTATTTCTGAAAAATGATGTATTGAAGTCAATGGAGAGAGAAAACGTATCTTTCGATCCCGTTTGAATTTTGCCATGAATTACACATATGATTTTTGTCAATCTTAAAAAATCATTTCCATGTCAAAAAAGTCACAGTTTGTCGTAAAACTGTTGAAATATAAGACTATGAAAAATACGCAACTAGAAAGACTACAAATCCCAGAGTCGCGTAAATCATGTCATAACTGGCAGGCAGCTTTGCATGACATTCTTCTGGACGTGTTTCATTGTGGTGATAGTGAGGGTAGTCAATCCCTTTTTAGGCAAGACAGTAGTGACGGCCATCTTGGTGACGCGTGTTGTTGTGCGAGACCAGAGATGTAGTTCATTGAGCGTTTCACACAAAAGAATGTGTTAAGTAACACAAAAAATGTGTCGTAAAACTGTGAAGTCACAGTTTTACGACACATTTTTTTTTTTTTGACTTGCAAAATTATCTTTTAAATTGACAAACATCATATGTGTAATTTGTGGCACAATTCAAACGGGATCGAAAGATAATCTTTCTCTCTCCATTGACTTCAATACATAATTTTTCCGAAATAAGGTCCCATGGAGGTCCACCGGAAGGGGAGGGACTTGGCCACTCTATAGCCCCACCTCTCCCCACCTCTGCTGCTCACTGCTGTAGCATGGTCAGTAGCTACTGTCAGTAGCTACTGACAATGCGACAGATGTTAGTGCAAAATCTACAGCTCCTCTACCACAACCATCAGCAACAAGTGGACATGGAGAATTACATGAACTACATGTTGCTAAATCCACCGCGGGGCATAAACAGAAGGGCAACCATGCAACCATGGCAACCATGCTCGGGGGTCTTCTTCGCTGCTTTTGGTGCATTTTGTGGCGAAAGTACAGCGCCACTTACAGGCCCGGCATATGTACTACAGCGTCTCCAGCGCTCCCGAGCGGTCTCGTGTGAACGGAATACTTTTTTGATATCATATTCGGTTCGTTTGCGTTTCGTATGCGTTTGCGTGTAAATGGGGTCTAATGTCCACACTGACCCATCATCAGAGTTGGGTGTAACGCGTTACAAAGTAACGCTTTACTGTAATATTACTTTTGTCGGTAACGGAGTAGTGTAACGCGTTACTTTTATAATTCAGTAATCACACTACAGTTACTAACATTGCCCCGACACGCGTTACTTCGTTACTTTTATAAAATCAGTCATAATCACACTGACAGACAAGAGGGGTTTCCGCCGCAGGTTTATATGTACGTAATCTGCGCGATTTGCACGTCCATATCTCCGCGTGCAGTGCTGCATAAACATGGCTGAGTCAGCGATAACTTTCGAGGGGTGGAGGTATGCCCATTATTTTGAGTTCGTCCGAAGAATAGACAGGAATGTGACGGTGAGGTGCAAACTGTGTCCAGGCCAGAAGCTGTTATCCACTGCTGTAAACACCACGTCAAACCTCAACAAACACCTGCAAAGAACACATGCTAAGGTGAAGCTAATAGCTAAGGACCCCCGAACCCAGAGTGAGGATATTGTGAGTGCGCCGCCGCCGACTCCGAAGCAGCACAAATGAGAATTTGGAGGACCGGTAACCAAAGCAGAGATGGACAGGCTTGTAGCATCCTTCATAGTAGAGGTAATGTTGCCCATTTGCACAGTGGAATCACCATCGCATCGTTCAGAGATATACTGCGCAAAATACAGATAGCAGGAGACAGAGGACAGCCATGGTCAGAGCTATCTGGATCAGTCTTATGCGACAATGGAAACTGAACTAAAGAGAACATTTGAAACTTTAGCAGTCTGCGTGATCTGCCTGCAGGGAGGGGCGGGCCGGCCCTGCGAGTAAAGTAACGAGTAAAGTAACGAGTAAAGTAACAAGTTACTTTATGTAGAGAGTAACGAAGTAGTGTAATATATTACTTTTTTTTAGTAACGACCCCATCTCTGCCCATCATAATTGAGTATTCCAATAAGCCGTGTAATAAGAAGTAACAAACCAGTCAGTTAAGAAATGTTATGACATTAAAAAAATCCTACATCATTTCATTACTTGTTAAGTCATAAAATCAGTGAACTGACCAAAAGGAAGGCAGCTAAATCTATCTGAAGGTTGCTAACATTAGGCACCATGATCTACTGGTCATACCAGCCAAACTGTAGCAGCAGAACCTCTGAATGTCCTGAAGGGGGGATTACTGCTGATAGAATCCACTTTGTATCTGTGAGAAAAAGGCTATGCTACTTCTTTTTTCACGGCTACAGTCTTTTTTTCTAAAACACAAAGTCAAACCCTTACTGGAGCTGTTCGAGTGTCCTCTCCTCTGCGGTCAGATAGTGGATCCTCTCCTGCTCCATCTCCAGCCGTCTGTTTGCTGCCTCCTCACTTTGAACCAGCCTATCACACATCAGCACCACCAGCTCTTCACCCGCCATCCGTAGCATGGATCTCAGGCTCTCCTGGTTTGACAGCTGGAGCACATGGAACAACTCAGGAATCAGGGGTCAACAACATAACTGGTTTTCATTCATGCCCCTGAACACAGGAACCTTTGACTAGGGATGCTCCGATCGATCAGCCGCCGATTTCTCCCGTGTTATTATCCAAAGTTAATGTAAACTTGAATAATGTACTTCATTTGAATGTAATAATTATGTTGGTTGTTGTTTGTGGAAGCGCCAGTGAATGAGCCCCATTAACTGAGTTTTAAACATCACTTTAAATGGAAGATCCCCATAGGCCCCGCCCACTCGATCGGATCGGCGATCGGTATCGGCCGATACTGATTCCGGCGATCGGTGATCTGCCCCAAAATTGGCGATCGGAGCATCCCTACCTTTGACTATATGATCTTTCGTTTGATGCCAGTCTCAGTAAAAACTTGTTCTTGTTTTGCCTTATTGGTCACTTTTATATAAAAACCCCAAAGAGCATTACCTCTCTGAGGCCTGTAGTAATGGTCAATATTGTGAAATGAACCCTGACTTAAATTAAGTTGACTAGCTACTGTGGTGTGTTACTGTATGAGCAATATACATTGAACAATATAAAAACACAGTAAAGTTCTAATCTTCAAGGCTCAAGGCTTTTATTGGTCATACGAATCTTGTGTTCCAAATTACTCTTTACATACCATGTTAATAATATTTTTGATGACCGATCTTTAACTTGATTTCAGTCACATAAAATCATCCAATCCAATGTAATTTTATGTGATGAGCTAGCTAACCATTGTCCATCAAATGAAAGCAGTGACGTAAACAGGAGAGCAATATGTGAGTTTGAGGTGTGTTTTTGGATTTCAGAAGGTAAAGGTAAAAACTTTGTTAAGATTTCCGTAGACCATGGTTGGGTTCTTATTTATTAAGTATACCCTCACCCTCCTACCTAATCCTACAGCGTGGGTGTAGCTCAACAGTTTTACATTGTCTCTCTCCAGCTTCATAACAAAGAGCAAAGTGGATGTTGCAAAACGTTGCAACATCCACTTTGAGTGATCCAATCACATATTGAAGATTTGAGTCCTTCTAATAACTAACATCGGGGTTGCAGTCAAATTGTTAATTTTGCTTTGGAAGGTTCCTAACAGAGGGAAATGACCCGGAAATATATAAGTGTCAGCCATGATAAGAGCTGTTTGGATTCTCTAAATGATAGGAAAGGAGCTTTAATGCTTCCTTTATAATTTCACTAACACTGGACCTTCAAAGAGAAAGAGAAAAGGCTGTCCCACAATTCCTTGCGGCTTGCACAATCCCCACGACACAACATTCGGCCGGTCACGGAAACAACCGAACCATTTTACAACTTATTGCCTTTACTTGCCAAAGTGCTTTATTTGAACTATTTTAATCAAAATTAAGCTAAATATGAACGTCACTTTTTTACTGAAATTATCAAATAAAGTCAACATTTCAGTGTTTACTGAGTTGTATAGGGTTTCTTAAACTGTTGTAAACATGTTTGAATGGTGATATACACAGTGATGGATGTCCAAGTCCAAACAAGTTATGTATACTGTAAATAATGCATAAAATTGTATTTACTTTAAAGATTTTCATACAATCATATGTATTGGGATTCATATGTGTTGACCGCAGGGTGAGGGTGAGTGCGAGCAACCATAAGTTCACCTTCAATTACAATCTTGGTAATGAAGAATATATTTTCTCTGTTGTCCACGTTCATAAAGCATAAAACAACACCATAATAGCAAAAGATGCAAAGTATCTTATAATTATAGCTTTAATAGTCCGCTGTATAGAAAATTGCAGTTTCCCATGGCAGAAACTTAATACATTTAACTTAAACATTAATAACATCCGTTGGCATATCATAATGACGTCAGATGTAATTTCAGTCGGATTCTCAAAGCAAGGAAGTTGTCTTTTCCTCATTCCTGAGGAATTCTCCTTTCATCTTTCCCTAAGCCCGCGTCACACTGTCCCGAAATTGACACCAGATGGACACACGATAAAGGAAATGTTCAAATTCGGCTCTGATCGTAACAACATCGGGCCATTCGTGGGGGCATCTTAAGCCATCGTATGACCGCCGGTGGAGTTTCTCATGCTCCGGCAGCATCTTCGTGAGCGGTGGCAAAATCTTTGGCATGCCAAAAAATTGTCGAAAGACCTTGCGAAGGTTCATTTTCGTGTTGAATTCGTGTGTCCATTTTACCCTTCATAAGGCACTCGTGAGGGCATCTTGTCAAAAAATTCACATCTTCGTGTTGCCTTCGTGTGTGGTTCGGGTGCCATCGTGTGGCCTTCTGTAGGCATCGTACTTGCTTCGGCTGTTGCTTGGCTGTAGACCAAGTTCGGGGCCATCTTCGTGCGAAATTCACAATTCCATATTCGTGTGTCCATCTGGTGTCAATTTCTGGACAGTGTGACACCAGCCTTAAGGCAGCACTCATAAATCCATCACATGACTGAAGCTATAGGACACACCCCCAAGTAGTGTACCAGGCTTTGAAGCCAATTTTGGCACTCTTAATTATAGATGTAACTTCCTATCCATATACGGCCATATATATGTATGGTGATGATTATGATGATGATGATGCTGATGATGATGATGATGATTACAATTGCGGAGTACCCAGGTAATTTACCTGTAAGTGTCTGAGTTGGTTGAGTTGGAGTCGCAGATCACACACATGTCTCTTCGCTAACACCAAGCTCTGCTGCAGCCCGCTGTCCGAGGGGGGGGGCGGGGCTGACGCTGTCAATCACAGCCACAGGGACCTCAGGTGACGCTCCTGAAGGTCAAAGTAAGGTGTAGCATGTTCTTTGTGGCAGGTTACGGGAACATCCGTTCAAATTATGGAAAATAATTCAAATAAAAACGTTTCTCACCAGCTCCGTTTTTGAGATGTTTGCATTCAGCATTCTCACTGAAAATCACACAGACAGTTACATAATAAACCTACCATCCTTGGTCTAGCCAGGGTTTATACACTACACTCAACTAACTTCATATTTATATTACCTGAAATATACAGACATGATTAGCAGTGGCTAAAAAAAAAAATAATAATAAAAAAAAAATATATATTTTTATTTTTATTTTTAATGAACAAGGTAAATATTATATAATTGGTATCAGTAAAATGTATAATCTACAATAAAATCTCGTTTAAAATTGTGTTACGATGTCTAAAGTTACTGATAAGTCACATGTTTCCTGCCTGGCCTTGCCCGTGTACCTTCTCTCGTCTGGGCGCTAATGGCGCGTTTCCACTACAGCCCGCAGCCCGGTTTAAGAGGGCTGTGACGTCAGCGGCCCGTCTTTGGTTGCGTTTCCACTTGGCCTAGTACCGGCCGGCGGGTCCTAATTCACAGTTTTTCTGGCCTCATAAAATCGTGGGTCCAGGGCCAGAGACAACGAGGCTGAGTCGGGCTGAGTATGCTAAACTAGAGAGAGCGTCGCTGGCAAGGGGGCAACAACTACAACAAGATGGACATATTTGACCGTGATTTAATTGTAATACACGTTTCAAAATGATGCCGAAGTAACAACATACTGATACCGGTTAGTAAAAACCATGAATTAATGCTTTGTCAAGTCTGCAGACAGACGGCAGGGGAAAAACCTTTTAAAATGCTTGTTTTCTAAATGGAGATTGGCTAAGCTAACGCAGTATATGCTCCAACCGTCCACACTCACAACAACGGCCTATACAGACATAAATAAAGCAGCGACTGTATTCACCATGACACAGGCAGTCTGTGGTTTGTACTTGTTTAACTTTTGTCTAGTTTCTGAACATATATGAGGAGCTGTGAGCTCTGAGTGCTAACAGCTAACGGCTGTGTTGTTTTTCTGGGGTCCTCTGAAGATCACGTCACGGCTCCGCCTACACTGCGTTACTATAGATACTGCCCCAGTCCCTAAACTGTAATGGAAATGCGCCATAAAGTGAGCCAGTCCTAACGAGGCCCAGCCATACCGAGCGGGGCCGAGCGAGGCCGTGTAGTGGAAACGCGACATTAGAGAGGAGCCCTCAACCAGTGCAGCAGCAGCCACTAGCAGCTGACTGTTGCTATCTGTAACGTGTAAACTATGCCGCGAAAACATAATTTCAGCCAATCATTGGCGTCAAATATGATGGTCACAGGGCTCCTCCATGAGCGCCCGGTGCAGTCTGTGAGTTGTTTGGACTCGTATCCAAGGAGACAAAACAGGAAGCTGTCATACACTCTGGAAGCTACCACATTAGCAGCTAATGAAAACTCCGTTTTTGACATAAAAATGGAATTATGGATCATCAATCATTTTTCAAAGTGACAGACACATTGGATTAACCTATGGATTAACCTTCAGCTGCGTTTTTCTCGTTTTTGATCAGATTTGTTATTCTGCAAAAGGTGAGCATATCTCCATGTTTTGCTACCTAAAGCTACGTCGTGTGATGTCTGTATTTGCTTCCCCTGTCGCGAGTTCTGATCGCTCAGTGATGATACTTATATTTCTAGAATATGTGGAATCTCAGCTTGTAAGCTTGTTTGTGCATATCCGATAAGTATATCGATTGATTTATACCTAGAGTGCGTTAGCATTTTTTCGCTCAGGGCTCATTTAGACGCTTCTTGTGAGACTTGTGTTTTGTTTCGGTAAACATGGTTCATATCATCAGTTAGATGCGTTTCCTCTGAGTAGGACACATGAATAGTTTATTACATTTTAAGAAGCCCTGAGACACGGTTTCGTGAGAAAAAAAACGGGGGGAAAAAAGCCCCTTAACAGGTTAAATGGGAATTAAATCAGTGTTCCCAAAGCCCCGGTGTTCTGCAGTTTGTGTGGGCCTACTGTACTGTTGCACAGTTTATGCTGTAGAAACTATGTCCAGGACAAGGTGTTTGGAAGTTTTGGAAGATTCATAGCTAACCACACTGAAGTTATGGAGGTATTGATCAGTCTTCTCATATTTTTAAGCCTCAAATTGTCCTTCTCCCCCCCCTCCCCCCCTCTAACATCACCAGAAGTCATGATTTAAGGGGTCTTTTCTCAAAAAAAATTACCGGGGGAGCATCCCCCCGGACCCCTCTAGTATTGTTTGATCACCATTTCCACAGCCCCACCTAAAATATTTTCCACCAGCCGCCACTGATTAGTACCCTATGTGTTGGGCAGAATTATTTCCTGGTTCAAGCTAATATATAAGTTTGTAAACAAATCATGGCTGAATCAAAGAACATATTGATTCTGAAGAGCTGCTGCTCACTAAAGAGATAAAGTGTGCTGTTACAGACCTGAGAGCCTTGACTGCTGGAACATCTGACCCCATAGACAGAGCACTGTGCACCAGCCCTGCCAGACTGGCTATCTGCTCCTCCATGGCTTTCATTCTCTCACTGAAAAATACAAAGACATGCACAGTATCAAATGAGGTCTTAAATGGGGCGTCTGTGTAATTTCTGAATCATATGATGTTTCTTAATCAGCCCTTCAAATTCACAATGCAATCCAGCAGACATGCCAAAGAAAAGAGATGAAGCCCTCCTCACTGTGTGCCATCCTGGCCCTTATGAGTGTTCATATCATATTTATTGCAAATAAAAAAGTGTATTGTTCTTTTCAAACCGCATAGTGTCTCTCCTCAAGGTCAAAGAAAGAACAAAGGAGACCCACCTTGTGCTCCACAGTATTACTAGTGGGCAACAACTCCAAACGGCACACTACTGTAATGATCACAGGAAACTACGAAAATATCTCTCTTGCTCTGCAGGAGGGCTGCAAGATGGCCAAAATGATTATCACATTTGTTTATCAATAATAGATCTATGATTATTTATCCTGATAAGGCTTTAATTAGTAACAAAATATTTGTATTGCACTTTTATATTTAATTAAAGCCATGACAAAACCGCACAGACAGACAGGACTAGTAATAAACAGGTTATTAATCTTCTGCTCTGGACTGCACACTGCACAGGCGTTTAGGCGCATGTAAAACTTCATTATCACATGCCATCATGTTTGTTTGTTTGTAGGAAGCCAAAATTATGATTGCTATTCAAATGTAATGCGTTGAAGCAGTGTGTGATTGCTGCATCTTGTCTTTACCAATGTGTTTGAATACTTAGGTCTGAGGTCTGACGAGGACTTTTTATTAAATATACACCTCATAAAGTGTTTACAATGAAGGAATGAACGGGGTCACTCTGGCTATAGCTCACCTCTGGGGGTTGCTGTTAGTCACATGACCATGAAGCAGTCTCTCTGGTTGTCCCAGAGGGCTGTCCAAAAAAACAGACGAGGTAGAGGAGGAAGAGCCACTTCCTCTTCTTCTGTTGACAATCTCCACTCCGGCTCCGTTACTGTCCTGCCGGAGGGACCGGCGGATCGGAGACATCCTCTCTGGAGACACCAGGCCCACGCCTCCGATGATCTGTCCGCCAATCATCCTGACTTCATTGACCCTGTGAGGGGAAGGGGGCGGGGTTTTGGTTCCCAGCGATGGAAGCTGGCTGTCTCCAAACTTCCTGCTCTTCTGCCTGCATGGTGGAAAAAATATGCAATGTATGGATTCATATACACCTGTTACAGGAACATCACAGGGTGTGCTGGGTCCCACTAGTGAAAAATGCTACCATTGTTTTACAATCTATCACTCCACCACTCTGTCACTGATCTGTTTTTCCTCTACGCTTAAAGGGAGGTTATATTGCCAAGGGGAATATTTACATTCATGTTTCTACCACAAATCACCGTCTGGGGTTACAGCAACTATTGTTATCTCAACAAAATTAACAGATAAGAAAAAATCCTGCAAGGAGGGCCTTTTAATGTCTCAGCTGAAGAACCCCTACTATACTGTCACTGTACAGTAGCCATTCAATCATTCACATTCTGTATGACCATGATAATCCATCATAGCACAGAGACAGCACTGTTGACAGTCACACATGGTCTTCTGATTGCATCAGACAGAAGATGTGTCTCTGCTCTTGTCTTGTTAGATCTCAGTTCTGCTGAAACTTTTCGATGTTAATCTCCGACATAACAGAAATGCTTGTTCTGTGCTCCAAACTGCTCTGAAACACACCATCTACAGATACAGCTCATCTGTGTGTCCCAGCCCTGGCCCCCAGCACCACCGTAAGGAACTCACTGTTACCTATGATTAGGCTGGGTCCTTTAACTCCAACATTAAACACACTTTAGGGACTGCCTTCTTGCATCTACGGAATAAAAATCCAGCACACCGGAGTTCTGGTGACATCACCATACCGAATGGCAGCCTAGTCTAGCTTCTCCCGCAGTAAGATATTAATTTTGCCTCGTTTAATTGCCAAATAAGAAATTTCTCAAAAAATTACAAATAGTTAACGGGGTGAAGATGGGATGAAAGTATGGACAAAATAAAAACATTGGCCCAGAGTCTACCACGAACAACTCGCCTGCACAGGTTGATGATGAGGAAGCTAGCGCAGAGCCACACGTGGCTAGCTTAGCTAAAGTTCTGGAGGAGACATGGGACTTTTGCAAAGACACAAAACAACAATTAAACGAAATAAAGTCTGAGCTAACCAACATCAACGTTAAAATAGCGGAGGCAGAAATGAGAATTGAAAACGTGGAAGACTGCATTCAAAATGTGGAACAGGTGCTGAGCAAGATGATCAAGGTAATGAATCAGCAAGAAAATAAACTGACAGACCAAGAAGGAAGATCCCGAAGGGAGAATATAAGGATTTATAATGTCCCAGAGGGAGCGGAGGGGTCATCTCTGGTTGACTTTGTGAAGAGTTTACTACAAGAGGCACTTAAAAAAGGGAACTGAAAACTTCCACGCCAACACTATGTGGAATATAAATATCATTACCATCATTACAATACACTCGCTGCTATATAACATGTGCAATATTATTATTAGTGTGAATGCTGTTTACGGCATTCCACTATTGTTCTTCTGTTTCTTTAATCATCTTCTTCTTCTTCTTATTTCACCAAATAGTTTGTCTCTCAATAACTTAAGAAACCATTCAAATATCAAACTATTCAGCCTTTTCAGCACATGATGGGAAAGTTTAGACTTTTTCCAAATATTTCATACTTTTATGATATATATTCAGCTTTTTAAACTCTTTTTTTAACATGGAACTCAATGGGAGGAACCTTCAAATCCTCTTTTCCTACACCGTGCGCCAAATGCTTCTCCTTCCACATACTTTCAGCTAGAGACTTCATTCCAACTTTTAAATGATCACAAGACCTTCAGCTATAAAACATGTTCTTCAGATTTTTCATATCTTTTACACTTTTTGAGATATTTAATTAAGGCCAATTGTAAATTCAGCCTGATCTTTCCTCAGAGCAGCAGCTGCACACCTTTAGTGAATCTGCCAAAAATGCCACTTTATTGACCTGAAAGTGCACAAAAAGCTGATTTTACCGAAAGCAGCTACCGTTTTTAAACTATAGTTAGAAATGTAAGAGGTTTATTTCTCATTCAGAACAATGGAAAGGCACTCCTTTCATCTCCATGGAAACCTCTGATCTCTGGGCTCACGTACACAGGTGTTTGATAACGTAGTCACCTCAAACACAAACACAGAGACTGGAGTTTAACAGACTGTCTCAGCCTATTGTTTTCTGTCTGATGGAGACTTCATACTGACTTCAACATGTTCCACATATTTTATACATTATTGGTGACGTGTGGTTTCAGTTCAAAAGTTTGCAGTTAAAATATTCTGATGCTTTTCAAAGCGTTTTTACTTTCTTTTCTCTTCTTAATACACATTCATTCACTACTACTTACATTTAATATCTAACTCCTTCAGCCTACTTTCAGCTATAAACCATTCAACTATTAACTTATTCAGCTATTTCAGGACATTGAGGCTATACATTTAGTTGTTTATACCTTTTTTAAACCTTCACTATTTTTCCTACTCTTCCAGTTTAACATTTCACTTTCAACTTTTCAACAAAGTCATTGCAATGCATTTGAGCTGTAACAATTTGATTCAAATCATTTCACTTTTCTGCATTTCTCCGCTAAGTTCAGCAACACACTGACTTGGTTTTTGTAGCTAAAATCAGCTACCATTCAGCTAATAACATATTCAGCTTTTTCTGCATTTTCAGCTAAATTCAGCCACAAATGTTCACAGTTTACAGCATTCACACGCATTTTCTGCAGGAAATGCATTTTCTAGTTATTAATAATATGCTATGATAACGTCCAATTACGTATCTGCCACTACGTTTTATTTTTTGCACTACTCAATACTGCTAATAATTACGTTAATTAAGTGACCGTCTATGTTTCATGTTTTCTGTAGATGTTTAGTTGCTCTTTTTGCTGCACTTTTAGTGTACAGTTTTGCTGTTGTGCTGCTGTGTTTGTTGTATTGTTGTTGCTCTGGCACAACAATTTCCTTCGGGATCAATAAAGTCTTATCTTATCTTATCTTATCTTGAGATCCCCCCCGCCACGGAGCTCGGCATTGAAAGAGCGTACCGAGCGCTCGTACCGAGGGCCTCCGGAGACAGGGAGGACAAGCCGCCGTCAATAATGATCAAGTTTCTCCGATACTCAACTAAAGACGATATTTTTTTTGAACGGGAAACAGATATACTTCGACCAAGATTACCCACCAGCTATTTTGCAAAAACAAAAAAGACTACTCCGAGGCAAAGCGAGTGCTAAGGCAGAGAAATATTCGCTTCCAGACCCTGTTCCCTGCTAAACTACGAGTATTTTCCGAGAACGGGACGAGGCTCTACCAGACTGCTGTGGAAGCATCCAGAGACATGAAGGACAGAGGAATGCCTGTCACCGTGATCCCACCGAGAGAGAGCCTGGCTGAGCAGCTGTCCCACTCCAGCCTGGGAGACAGTGGGAGGACAGAGGCAGACAGAGGCAGGAGAGGAACGAGGGAGGAATATCAGGGAGAAACTGCGTGCCTTCAGGAGACAAGTCCCGTCCACCACAGGAGACAAACCATAAGTTCTGACTAAGAAGGTGAACTGAACAGAATCTGATTAAGAAAGTGCTGTGTTTAACATTCTAAAATTAGACGGACCAATGTGACATTTTCTTTTTTTCCTCTAATATTTTTTACAAGTATTCTTTCTTCCCTATTTAAATGAGAATATATATACATGGGAAAAACATAGGGAATCTTTTTTTTTTCCATGGTAATGGATAGAGACAATGGGGGCCCTCACCCTACAGGTAGAAGAGGCCTTCCCCCACAGCTAGACGTTCTCTCTAGCCCAGGGTCGCTTACAAGAGACCCCGGCCTTGGAACCACACCTGTTCTGTTAGTATGTGTTTTTTTGTTATGGTATGTTCAGGAAGTAGATCATCTTATTTTTGTTTTGATAATAACAATGTTGCAAAGACAAACTTATACTTATGGCTCGTGGCAAAGTGAAATTCATCTCACATAATATCAATGGGCTGCTTAACCCAATTAAACGTAGTAAAATTCTATCTAAAATGAGAAAAGAACAAGCCCACATATACTAACAGGAAACTCACTTAAAGGTTACACCAAGCACCGAACCTAGGGGGACAGAGCCTTCTCCCTCGCTGCCCCCCCCTCTGGAACTCACTCCCACAACACATCACAGACTGCACTGACCTCCCCACCGTTAAGACACTGACCAAAACACACCTTTCTGGCTTGTGTGATTCATGTTGTGTTATATTTCTAAATGTTGTTTTATTAGCCAGATTTTTTATTCAACTTTTTATCTTTTTTTATGTTATTTATTTTTACCACTTTAAAGTGTAAGTGTCTGATAAACCTGATAAAGCGCTTGAAAATAAAATGTATTATTATTATTATTATGTGTAGTGGCTGTGCCTGTTGCCATGGTATTGCCTGACACACACCTTATTATTTTTTGGTAGCTTCGGGAAGATCATTAACATCCTTCTGAATCCTTCATTTATATGAACAGGATAGTTTCTGGTGGCAGACTGAATCGGGCTCATGACCTCTGTCTCAAACCATGCAAGAGACAAAGGACTCCCCCCCCCACAGTTTGCTGGATCAGTGTGTACCTGTGCAGGGAGCGGGTCTGCTGGCTGTCTCCATGGTCCATCAGGGGTTTGACGGAGGCCCGGTACTGCTTCATCCCCCCCGGGATCCCCGTGACCCCCGGATCCACCATGTCTGCAGGCAGAGAGGGGGGAGCGCTACACTGGGAGGAGCTGAAGCTGAGGCGACCCCCTCCCCCTCCATCCTGCAGGGAGGAACAATAGGAGTCTGGGAAATGTGGTCGTCCTTCACCACGCACCACCAGGGCCTTACTGCTGCCAACGTCCTCATCTGACACACACACACACACACACACACACACACACACACACACACACACACACACACACACACACACACACACACACACACACACACACACACACACACACACACACACACACACACAGTTACATCAGATGAATTTCAGAGCAGTTGCTTGTTCTGCGTCTTTTTTACCTCTCTTGTTAAAGAGTAATGGAATACCTTTCCCATGTATAACTTGTTGTAACATTTGAGAGACGTTTACTTTACTTGAGTATTTCAATTTTGTTCTACTGTGTACTTCTACTCCACTACAATACTGAGGTAAATGATGTACTTTGACTCCACTACATGTATTTAATACCTTTAGTTACTTCACAGATGTGGATGAATGATGTGAAATATAATCAAGTGTTAAATCAGACTTTAGTTCCACCTGGAGTAAATCCACAAGCTACCCTGCAGTATACAAAGTCATTCAAACTAGCTGCACCTTTACCAGCTTTGAGAACACTTTCATGATCAATCATTATAAAACATATCATATATATTATTCTGAAATGGACCAATCTGCACAATGACTACTTTTACTTTGTGCACCATTTACCTAATAATAATAATAAGTTAAAGTAAAAAAAAAGTTGTCTATTGTCACTTTAATGTAAGCAATCCTTCGGTCTCAGGATAGAGTGCTGTGTATTGTACAGATTGTACAGATTTCAGAGGCAGAAAGCCCATGTGTTTCTTTAGTCAAGGTAGAAACATGCACACTGGTTTTGTCATCAGACACTAGTCATTGATGGATGGTGAGCGGCAGGTCTCTCACCAGGCTTCACGTCTCTCCTCTCCAGGATGGCACTGCTGCTGGAGCTCAGGGAGCTGGATCGCCCCCCCCCTGGTAACATGCTGCTTCCTGGATCCACCATCCCAGTCCTACTCCCTGTGCTCCCACCATACGGCCTCCTGGAGGGAGAGGAGGGCATGGAGCGGACCATGGGGGGGGACATGGAGCCCTGCAGGCTGTGCAGGGGGCTGCGGCTGGACGCTGACAGGGTGTGGACTGGACTGTGACTGCCGTACAGAACCTCTTTAGAGATCTGTGAAAAACACAAAGTATCTGAAATAAGATGGGGAGATGGCAAAAACAGGCCGAATGCTCAGACACCAAAACAGACCCAGCGCCGGAAAAAACGCTTTACAGATAAACCCTGCATAGGCCCAGGTGTGTGTGTGTGTGTGTGTGTGTGTGTGTGTGTGTGTGTGTGTGTGTGTGTGTGTGTGTGTGTGTGTGTGTGTGTGTGTGTGTGTGTGTGTTTGGGTGTGTGAGTGAGTGAGCGAGTGTGACAAATGTGTGCAGGTACTGTGGGAAAAACTCCAAGTATGGACATGCTTTCACACATGTTGACTCTGATTCCCCTGCTGTGTAGTTTACAGTTGAACAGGTCCAGGCTCTGACTGCCAGGCTGATCCAGGAACAGCCAGTCGCACTGCTGTGTGAACCGCAAAAAACTCTGAGCTTGCTGATCGTTTCCTTCAACCTTATGTTTTCATGTTCATTGCCTTTCATGGACTTATTACACTTACTGTGTGTGATAAATTATTTCCTTTGCTATACCTTTTGTCAGTCCTCAGTAAACCCTAAACAGGCCTGAACTTGGTGCACTTTATTCCAAAATCTGTAGGTGGTCCTTCTAAGTCTGTTTTTCATATCAAGTTTTGCCATCAAGGCGCTCTGTCAACCTTTAAAACAAAGTCTGTGTCCTCATCATGCTCATGTCATGCAGCCATTTATTTGTAAAGTATTGCTTTACATTCAAAACAAAGTAATTTGCTTCTCCAGAGAGTGTTCATGTGCCCCTGCAGCGGTATGGGACTGGCTTAATGTTGCCATGTTTTGTAGCGCTGGATTAGCTCAATATCAAATGCAATGCAAATAAATCAAAGAGAAAATAAATAAAAAAACTAGGATTACAATAGGTCTTCGCCTTCGACTTTGTCGAGCTCAGGCCCTAATAACATGTTTTTTACTTAAGTGTTTTATGTAAGACAACAGAACAATGTAACTTTAGAAAAGAAGAAACCAAGAAATGTAGGATCAAAAATGATTTTTTGTATAGGGAAACCTGCCTTTCATGAAGCATACTCAGGTTAAGCTCACACACACTATTTTATGAACATATGTGACCCGCTCCATCGAAATCAGTCGGAAGTCACAACGGCTCATTTCAAAATAAACGTGGATTTGCGTAAAAAACTAGTTTTTCGGGGTTCGGGTGTTTTGTTTGATTTTAAAAAAACAAAATCTTGGCTTTCAGAATATGAAACTTTTATTTCCAAAATCACACGATAAAAACATTTGTGAAGCTTGTAAAGGGAAGATGACAACTCTCACTCGCCACTCTGCTCTTCCTCAGCGCTGCTTCCCCTCCCTCCGGCTGAAATGATGAATGTAAGGCATATAGTAATCATAGATAACACGGCAGGGTCCGTTACAGTTTGTTTTCATCTGATTTCAAATAAACAAAGTCTTGGCTTTCAGAATATTAAACTTGTTTCGGCAAATTTAGATGATAAATACAACTATGAAGCTTGTAACGGCATAATTACAAGCGGAGAACGGAGTAATTTAACGTTACAGCAGGCATAACAACAGCCGGTGTTTCTCGTGAGTGTTTTCCCCGGGAAACAAACACAATACACACAAATGCAAAATTACACAAACACACACACACATACACTCACACACTCGCCAGCTTCCCCCAGACCAGTAATCCAAACAAAAATATCTTCCCTCCGTAGTGTTTTGATCATTTGCTCCGCTAATAATCAATCAGATCGATGGATTCCAGAGAAGAGGAAACTTTAAAGGCCTTTTTCTCAAAATGATGACTCGGTGACAGTCATTATATAATGTGACATATTTTGCTTAATATTTGGAGTACACTAACAATCCTGATATCATTAGAAAGCTAGGAATCTCCTCTTTCCAACAGTGTATACAACTCAAAATGTGTCTTCGGGTCAATGCGACTGATTTCGATGGAGCAGGTCACATATACTGTAGTGCTCAGAGTGAGAATTAAATACAGTTTCTGGGGGGGAGTTGCCTCAGATCAGAGCTGATGGGCGTCAATTGAAACTGGATCACTCCTGAGTTCTTAATGAAACTTTTTAGTGACAATAGTTTACAATTACATTAAACAATAGCTAATAAAGTTATGAGGTTAACCCTAATCCCCAATGTTTAGAAATAGAACAGTAATCTGATTACATATTTTTTTTAATAATACAGTTCCCTTTATTGGATTCCTGATTACCTTCCTTAGATGTAATCCGTTACTCCCCAAGTAAAGTAGTCCTTTTGTCATAAAGTATGAAGTTTAGAAGGGTTCATTTGAGCTGATAGCGATGGAAACACCACCAGAGCCGGCTGCAATTCTAAATTCGGAGTTTATGTAGAACCTACTGCCCGCAAACACTCTTATAATAGTCGTTCTTCTTCATAAATCTGCAGAGATCTGCACTGCTAGATACTTAAACCTGGCAATAGCCATAGCCTTTGAATCAAACAACAAATACAAAAGCTCTCACCCTGTCCCACCTTGTCGTCTTTTACATGTTAACTGCAGTCATTATACAGCAGTTATAAAAAAATATATATATGCCTTACTTTTTGTGTTAAGTTTATATATAAAGTTTGGCTGTAAGCAGTGCACAGGATAACAATGATTTTCTATCCTTTTTTACTTTTCCATCAAAATTAACAGTTGAACAACCATTGCTATTGCCCAACCAACCCTAAAATAAAGTAATACAGCATAATATTAAATGTATCTTTGGTCAAAAGTTCTACAAGTGTTACTTACCTCTGAACACAGTCAGTGGAGCAGCAGCCGTGCAGAGAGGTGCACGGCAGCCTATGACTGCGCCTACAACATTGAAATCCATGTCTATATTTCAAAAGGGCGTTGATCTCTAAACCTGCACAGATCTGACATGTTATAACACATAAACTGCAAAGAGTCTGTCATAAAATGAAATAAAGCCTGCAGTGTAACGTCCAGACCAGTTACACAGGCTGTCATTTAAAGCAATGACACAGATTCACAACAACAGATACTCCTTCCAACTTCAACTCACGCACACACACATTTTATTTTTGATAAAACACTTCAATCAGTGCCAGTGATTTGCATATTACCATACACACTTGGCATTTGAAGCGAAGGGTCGCCTCCTGTCCCGATCGGACCAAACACAGAGCGTGGACTGGTAGCTGGAGTGGTGCCAGTTCACCTCCTGGGCCCTGCCGAGGTGCCCTTGAGCAAGGCGCCGAACCCCTAACTGCTCTGGGCTCCGGTGAACTGGCTGCCCCTTCACTCCCCCTCTCCTATCCTGCATGTGGTTCTGTGCATGCTCGTGTAAATCAACCAGTGTGTGTAATGTGAGTGATACAAATAATGTCCCCGTTCTTCTTCACACCCACGTTTGAGGGCCAGGAAACTAGTGTCTGGCACTTATTAAATACAGGCCGTGTCTCAATTCAGGGACTGCATCCTTCGGAGGACGCAGTCTACGCGGTCCACGAAGGATGCAGCCCACGTAGACCGGGTAGGCTGGACCGAGCGGCCGGCCAACGAAATGAGACGGTCTAGCCTACGGAGCACTTCGTATTTACGTCACATGATACGCGCTGTTCGGTTGCGCTGCTCCAGCAGCCTGCTAGCAAATTAGCTTACAAGCTAACTCAGCTGAAAAGGATCCAGAAACGTTACTTTTACTCCATTTGTTGGAGATCACCGATGGCGATGAAATAAAGAGGACCATGGCCAGGTAAATGAGATCAAGCTGTTCCTTTAGGCCCCAGTAATGTTACATTAGTAAGTTAACAAGTAAATTATATATAGCTCATGTAATTTAATCATATTATTTCATATTTAAAATAAGTCTTAATTTTTCTGTACTAATAAAACAATACGTTTTTTTAAATGTACAAAAGCATGTTGTATAAATTGATTTTTAACAATATTACTTTTCTAATCTTAATATCTAGCTGTGGTTTATAACCAGCCCAGATGTTATCCTACCTACACCAGGTCAGCCGCACCATGACCCCCTGCTCTGCTGAAATATACAATTAAACATTTTCTATGGCCTATGTTGTCACAGTCATCATTCACCAGTAGTTTTCCATTCACCTGTCTCACCTGTTAACCACACACACGTTTTTGCTCACTCTCTTTCTCTACTGCACCCATTAGTCACACTGCCAGTATTTAAACCCTCACCAGACACACACCCGTTGCCAGATCGTACTTTGCCTTCATGCTAGTCTTTCACACTTTTGTTACCAGATTGCCTACCCGGTTCCGACCCTGCCTGTCCCTGACCTGCCTGCTCTGCCTGTTCCCTGATCCTGCCTGTCCTTGGACTATCCTGCCTTGCCTGCTGTCTGACCCTGCCTGTACCTACGTTGCCTGCCTCGCCTGCTCCCTGACCCTCTGCCCGGCCCTGACTCACCTTCTGCCTGCTGTCCTCAGGTTCGCTTGCCTGCACGTCATCCGGCTGTTACTGTTCTGCTGGTATCCCTCTGCTCTGGTAATACCAATAAAGTATATTACCAATACTCTTTGGTTTCTCGAGTGCTGCATTTGGTTCCTTCATCAGATTGTGACAGATGTTCTGTATTGCTATAACTACACTGAATTTAAGACAGTTCAATGACCTAGAGATATCCTATTATTCCACTGCTTATGTACACATGTTGTAAATAATGGTTAAAACCTCAGTAAATGTGTTTAACAATTACTATTTTAATTCAATTTTGTATTTTCATCTAATCACACCAGCAGTAAAACAAATATCAGCAAAAGTGTGTTTATGGAGTTGTTTATTTGTATTATATGTGCAGCAAGTATATAGAAGCAGCTGTTTGGGGAATCAGACAGACTCAAGCTATAACCATTAAATATCTATTAAAAGAAAGAACACAGAAAAAATCTAATTCTGAAACTAAGACACAGAAGATAAAATATAGATAAATATAAACAAACACAATTTAGATTAAGTAATATAATCTTAATTGTAGATTAAATCTAGACAGTATTGCAAATAAATTAACTGTTAACAGAAATGTAATAAGTATATACAGTATATGCAAAATGAGATGTTATATATGGCACACAGATGAAATGTGTTAATTTGAAGTAAAATTATGTAAGGCTGAAGTGACAGCAGTGACGAGCTCTACAGTTCTGCTCTCATACGTCTGTAGGACGGCAGTAAGCAGAGGTCTGGGTGGATGATGTTCCTGATCGCCGTTCTGCTTTCTCCAGCACCACGGGGGGGGGTCCAGGAGGATGGCAGCTCTGTCCTGATGATCCGCTGTGCACTTTTCAGATCTATTTCTCCAGAATTGTCCTAATCACAGAGAAAAAGACAAATGAAGTCATCACATTAAACACAGGGTTGCAAAATTATTATTGCAAAATGTAACTCTAAGCATTTCAGACAAACAATCCCTAAAGGATTATTTAAAATTATGTACTGTTTTGGTTTTTAAAATACTAAAGAGATGAAATGACAGTCACAGCTTGCATCCCTTTGACAGCACGGCACAAACTAACATCAAGCAAAAGGCTGTTGTCTATTTTTTATTGTCTTATTATTATGGGATTAGGATCAATTAAATAAACTTTAACCTAAATAAAAGATGATAACATCTGGTGGAAATATTTCAAATAGGCTTTTCTTTTAGCCCTACCTCAAAGCAGCATGAGCTGAACACAAAGGTTGTAATGTTGTCCCCAAGTTTAATAAACGTGCAACATGTCAGAGAAATAAATAAAGCTAACAGCAGCTAAACGTCAGGGTAGCATTTATAAATCCCACCGTACTGTAGGCTATACCGGTCTAAATGTTTTCACTTTGGTTTATTTATAGATGTAATATAAAGTATAACTTATCTATAACAGAGCCAAGATCTCTGTATGACTTTAGTAAACTTCTGAATTGAATACAAAATAAGTGTAAACAACAGTGCAGCACTTCCAGCTAGCTAGCTAGCGTCACTAACGTATTTATCCGTATTATTTAACGGAAATGTACGTTTTAATGCCCCTTGGGTTTGACGTGTGTGACGTTAGTTATTTTAAAGTAAGTTAAAACCCAATACTCACATTTATTAGTGATGAAAAAAACTCACTTGTTCCCAGCGCGCATTGCATCCTGGGATATGGTAGACCGCGGAGGATACATCAGATTTATCCTCCAAACCCGGGAAAAGAAGGCCGCATTCGTGGGCCGCATTCGGAGGAGTCTTGTCTTTAAAAAAAAATTGGGACAGCCTTCTTTGGCGGAAGTGACGTATGCGGTCTACGAATGCAGCCTCCGAAGGATACGGCCCCTGAATTGAGACACGGCCACAGTCACACAACTCCCTTTAGATGATCCTGAAGATGGCGCCTGTGATGATGCTGTGTCTTCTCCATCTCTGCCTTTTTTTCGTTTTATTTCAGTGTTTGTTTACATTTCGTTGTGTGCTTTTAAATTTGTCCGCAACATGCGAGCCGACCACACCAACTCTACTATACAATATAGCAGAGAGGAACTTCTACACATCAAAAACTGTGTGGACAGCAGTCTATCACCGAGACGTCAGACAATGGGGAATCGGCTCATCGGCAACTGCAACATGGGGCGGCAGTGGCTAGTTCACCTCCTGGGCTCTGCCGAGGTGCCGTTGAGCAAGGCACTGAACCCCCTACTGTGCCCTGGCGCTAGGGCTGTGCAATTAATCGTATTTTTATCTCGATTCCGATTTTGGCTTGCAACGATTACGAAAACAGCGTAATCGGAATAAAACGATTATTTTGCTGCATTCCCTTTCGCAATGATGCTCTCAATTTGTCTTGCGTTATACATCCTGCCCGCGCGTGCGCTTTCGCCCCTCCGTAAAAGCCCTCTCGGCCAGGTTGTGCTGTGACCATAGACTGTATATATAAAGGTTGTGACTTGCAGTCTGTTTAATAAATCCATATAAACACGTTACAAAGGAAGCTTTAGTTGCCTTGTCTTTATTCTCCGGTCCTCCATGCTCCGGTCTCTAGCGTACAGTCAACTTTTACTAACTCGTCAAGCCGGAGCCTCTTAGCTCGTTACTTCCGGATAAGGGGTTACCAAAAAGAGAGTACTGCGTGTAGCAGTATAATTCAACATTACAGGTTGTGAGTGACATTAGTTATCATATTTATATATGTTTAGTAGGTTGTGAAAGTGCGCTCCAAAATATTTTTTTATCTTTATTGGTATTTATTATTTTGATATTATTTATTTAAATGTATATATAAATGTATACTTTGTAATGGTTTTTCAGTTGAATTATACTTAAAGGGGACCTATCATGCAAAATGCACTTTTGTACGTCTTTTATACATGAATATGTGTCCCCGGTGTTCCAGGGAACTCACCAAGTGTCAGAAAACACAACCCTCTCTATTTTCCTCCATACCCAAATCTCTAAAAAAGGGGCTGCAACAGATCTGATACAGACTGATCCAGATTTGAACACTGTCCTGACGTCAGGACGGTGGCGCTACGGCTATTGGGCCAACTCTCCACCAATCAGGAGTAGACAGCCACGGCCATTGCCGTTCGAAAGCGCTGGAGACGCTGTAGTACATATGCCAGGCCTGTAAGTGGCGCTGTAGTCTGCCACAAAAGCAGCGAAGAAGACTTCCCGACCACAGTTACCATGGTTACCCTTCTGTTTATTCTCCGCTGTGGCTTTTTTTCTCCCTCCCCGAGGCAAGCGTTTGCTCCCGCTGCAATGCAATCCCTCCCCGTCGAGGCAAGCACTGTAATTCTCTCCGGTTAGTCCACCAGCAGATGACAAACACCCACCTCTCCGCCTCTTCCAAGGAACGAGGGGACCGTGCGGCAGAGTTTCAGTTTCAGTTTGTTTCACCGGTCAAGATGTCCGTTGAATTTTAAATCTTCCGGACAAAATTAGAAAAGTGCCGGTCAAAGGTCTTCTTTGTTGTTTATTGAGCTTTAAAACAAATGAATAACGACTCTATATAATAAAACACGGAGGACGGAGATCTCTTTTTCTCCCCCTCTTCTGACAGCCCAGCAGCTGATCAGAGCACGTCTCCCCTCTCCTGCAGGGGGGCGTGGTCAGCAGAATCAGACCCGTAGACAGCAAACAGCACATAGAGCGAAATGAGGCATGGCTAAAATGCATGATCTGTTTGGTATTTTGAAAACAGAAACGTATAAATATACCTTATATAGGTATGGCCCTACAATATATCATTTAAATATAGCATGATAGGTCCATTTTAAAGTTCAGGGTAATCAACTGTTAAAAACATACTGTTCAAATTATTATTATTTTTTTTTTTAAAGTTCAATAAATGGATGTTTTCAAAGTCAATGAATAATCGTATTTAATAATCGTGATATCAATATTGACCAAAAATAATCGTGATCATGATTTTTGCCATAATCGAGCAGCCCTACCTGGCGCTAGGCCGACTGGCTGCCTCTCCACTCTGGCAGCTCTCAAAAATGCATGTCCATGTGTGCACCTATATACCTGTGTGTATTTGTACTGTGTGTGTATAAAAACAGTGGACAACAGTATTTTCCCCTGGGGGATCAACAAAGGTTCTTCTTCTTCTTCATGTTTCCTGTAGTTCTGGAAGCTGACTGTGCTCTGATGACTCCACACACACACACACACACACACACACACACACACACACACACACACACACACACACACACACACACACACACACACACACACACACACACACACACACACACACACACACACACACACACACACACACACACACACACACACACACACACACACACACACACACACACACACACACACACACACACAGTGTGTATATAGAGCATATAGCTGCAAAAACTCAGCAGTCAGGACACAGTCAGCCTAGCTGAGCATGAACACTGGAAACAAGGGAACAGCCAGCATGGCTAAGCTCCAAAGAAAACATACCAACGCCCACATAACTACCCAGTTGTACCTTCTTTGATTCATCTGTAAAAAAACTGAATTTTATGTATCAAAATGTTTGCTTATATAGAGGTTACTGGGTTGATTATTTTATTCTAAAGCCACTAACATTATTTCCACATACAATAAAATCAGCAACTTTAATTCAAAGACCAAAAGTTCAGCAAACCAAATCAAACAGGAATATTTCATGATGAAAATTATGTATATTTTTTTTGGAGTAGATGACTTAGCTCAATACACAGAAAACAGTCATTATTCAGTGTGTTGATGTATGTGTGTTTGTGGATGAGTGTGTGTATGTGTGATCTCTATGAGCAGAACAGGATCCACAGGTCTTGTCTTCTGATGCCATCGGCAACAAAAAGAAGAATTGTGTTTTTTACAGCACAGCTGTTTTAGCCATAAGAGAAGACTTTTGCAATTGGTTATGGGAAAGTGTTAGATGTAATTAAGCCACTTCTGTCATTTGTTGCAGAAGCAATAACTTTAGTAAGAGCTGGTTCAAAGTTCTTAGATCGCAATGACACTGTGTGATGAGTAGGGGTCAACACAGGCTCAGTACTTTCCCGAAACTAAGCAAAGTGAGATGCACCTCACTGACTTTTCTCTCGCTGCCTTTCACTATTTATAAGGGCTACATCTTAATTATATCCAGCCATTTATTACAGCACAAACACACACATGGATACATTCATTTTAAAGACTGAACTGTTGTAAACGGCTTATTGGTTTGCATTCCTAAATAAACACATAGAGTTTCTGCTTTAAAAGGCTAATTTCTCCTAAAAGTGCATTTCTGAAACCCACCTGAAAGCAGTTGATCTAAATCTAGTCTTTCTATCAACACTGCAGGACACAATGCAACATATTAAGGGGGGGGACTCACCTTCCCCTCAGGCCTGGCATGGCGGTTGAACACATGTGCAGGGTCCTTGTGATACACCTTCAAACAGGAGTGGGATGTGATGTTCCTAGAAGCAAACAGAACACACACAGTGAAGTTTAATGTTCTTAATGTTAGAAGTCCTACAGAGTCACTAAATGGTCAGGACACAAACATGTTATGAAGAATCAACATCCAAACGCTACTGGTGTGGTCCCATCACAAGATGGTGAGTAAGATGGCGCCGTGTGCAGACGCAGCGGCCCCTCGCGCTCCTGATTTTCAGTGTTTTTAATGTTTCCTCGTCATGTTTGTTAAGTTCATTTCAACAGACCGGACCGACAGCACAGTCAGGAGTAGACAGTACAGCTGTGAGTTATTGCTGGACAAAAAAACAACAACGACCCACACTCTGGATGCTACGCTTGCAGAGGAACTTAGCGGCCTTGGACTACTCTGCCGACCTCGCCCTCGAGTGCTGCCTCCCAGCTGGAAAGGAGACGCCGCCGTGAGAGGAAGCGGAACAGGGGTCAGCGCGGAGACATCCGGGCTAGGCTAGCAGCTAGCCCACACAGGTCCGCTATTCTGAGCATGCTAATGGCTAATGTACGCACTATGGATACAGAAACATGGCTTAACAAAAACATCACGGACTCTGCCATTCAGCTGGACCGGCTAACATGCTAGCAAGCGGACAGAGCTACGGGAGACTCGCAGCGGCGGTGTTATTGTTAACATCAGTGACGCTAGGAGCCGGGACGCTTTCTACCTCCTGATGGAGTTTATAGCCATCTTGGTGGTAGCTGTTTACATCCCCCCCAGTTCCAGCAACAAGGACAGAGAGGCGGCCCTCTGTGAACTGTACCGGGCCATCTCTGAGCAGCAGACAGCACACCCAGACGGCCTTCATGGGGACTTCAACCATGCTAACCTGAAAACCATCATGCCTAAAATATATCCAGGGTTTCCCACACATAGAAATTAATAAAAATATGATCTGATTTAATTAAAAAAATAGTTGATGTTCTTTTTTAAACTTGACATAATAATATTATGTATTATATGATTATAATAAATAAATCATATTGTATGTTTAAATATATCTGTGTTTCCTACCATGGTAAATCATTGTTAATAATTATTGTGAGGAATAATTAACATTAACATGTGATCAGACAGTCCTTCACATACAGTAAATGAATATTTATTATGATTATTATTAATAACAATATTATCATTATCATGCAGCAACAGCATTCCACTATTGTTCTTCAAATCTTTATTCTTCAACTTCTTCTTCTTCTTCTTCTTCTTCTTCTTCTTCTTCTTCTTCTTCTTCTTCTTCTTCTTCTTCTTCTTCTTCTTCTTCTTCTTCTTCTTATTAGTGTGAATGCTGTGCTACAGCATTCCACGATAGTTCTTCTTTTCTTTATTCTTGAATGTTGACAATGTTTTGTGATCATTTTAGCCTCTTCTGCATGTCCAGATCATTAATAGTAACAATCAACTGATTCTTATGCATTACACTTTCAAAAATAATGTATGCTGCAGCCCACTGACATGGTTTGAAATCAATATATTATCCCATTTGTGACCCCCCACAGGACTTAAAAAGCACCTAACTAGATCATGAAAATCCCCAAAATCTCAGGGGGGTATATCCCCGAACCCCCTTATCATGTTTGGACCTCGGTATTTAGGAAATCCTGGATACGGCCCTGGCCCTCAGAGCTCACAGCTTCTCATATCTGTTCAGAAACTAGACAAAAGTTAAACAAGTACAAACCACAGACTGCCTGTGTCATGGTGAATACAGTCGCTGGTTTATTTATGTCTGTATAGGCCGTTGTTGTGAGTGTGGACGGTCGGGGCATATACTGCGTTAGCTTAGCCGATCTCCATTTAGAAAACACGCATTTTAAAAGGTTTTTCACCTGCCGTCTGTCTGCAGACTTGTCAAAGCATTAATTCATGGTTTTTACTAACCGGTATCAGTATGTTGTTACTTCGGCATCATTTTTAAACGTGTATTACAATTAAATCACGGTCAAATATGTTCATTTTGTTGGAGTTGCCAGCGATTCTCTCACTAGTTTAGCATACTCAGCCCGGTTGTTGGCATGGAAAGAACCTCGATTTTGGAGAGCCAGAAAACTGTGAAAAAGTACCCGTTAGCCGGAACTACGCCTAGTGGAAACGCAACCAAAAACGGGTCGGGCACGGCACGGCACGCTCAAACCGCGCTGTATCCACCAAGCTCCCAATAGACTCCCATGTTAAATTTGCCGGATCTTTCTTTAGATCAGAAAGAAGTACATTTCAAACAAACTGCCGCAATCTCCACATTTTACACACCAAACACAAAAAAAGCAAAGAGATGCGTTCATCAGGGCTCCCAGATGCTCCTGTTGAGGTCATTGTTTTTATAGAAGCCATAGTCTTTGAACATGAGACAAAATTGTCAGAGATAAACCTCAATGCATTCTGAATGAGCCTCCCTCTCCTGCTGCAGGTGACCATGGTAACCATAGTTACTGGACAGATTGGGGCAGACACAGCTGAGTGACATCATCTAATCAGAGTAGACACGCCCCCACAGACACAGGCCCTTTCTCATTTCACTAATTTCCCCTCCTCGACTCCTCGAATCCTCGGTCCTCCGGTAGTGACCCGGAAATGGATTTCAGCGCGCCATGTTGAAGGACATCTAATTTCTCTAAATGCACTTTGAGGACCGAGGATCGAGCATCGAGGAGGCTCTCTGGAGGAGCTATAATCGAGGATACACTGATGGGTCCTCCGCGCCAGTCCGCGTAACCTCCGCGGATGTATTTCCGGCAACAGAGATGTTTAAAAGAGTCGTGACGCACGGTCGGACTTATCTCAGCCAATGACAGCTCTGCATGCATCCCCTGGATATTATTTTATTAATTGCTTTCATTGCGACGATGAAAATGCTCCAAACGGCCCAAACCTTCACAGGTTTGGTAACGATGCAGCCATCAACGCATCTAAGCGTATTATGGGGTGTCATCAAATGCCGTTGCCATGGCGACAGACCACTCGCCATGAAGCACGATGTCGCTGTAAGTCCAACGGACACGGTCCAATCGTCCCCCAATCTTCACTTGTATATCACCGGTCCATGCCTCAACAGCTCTACGCCAAATCTGAGATCTCACCATATGCCGTTTCCATGGAAACGCATCCCTCGCCATAAAAGACGATGTCGCTATAACTCCTATGAAAATGTTCAAAAAGTGCTCAAACTTCACATGTGTGCTAACAGTCCAGCCGTGAAGACATCTACGGGACAGTTTTGAGATTTCTTCAAATGCCGTTGCCATGGCAACACAATGCTCACCATGAAACACGGTTTTCTCATAACTTCAGTGAAAATGCTCCAAACGGCCCAAAACTTCACAGGTTTGGTAACGATGCAGCCATCAACGCATCTAAGCGTATTCTGGGACATCATCAAATACCGTTGGCATGGCGACAGATCATTCGCCATCAAGTTAGTTCAAAAGTGTGCAGTTCAAATATTCTGCTGCTTTTCCAAGCCTTTTTACTTTCTTTTCTTCTCTCATCACAAATTCATGTATCATTTCAATCTAAATTCTTCACTTTCTTCTTACACATTACATTTCAGCATAGCAATTCAGCGTCAGCTTTTCAGCATAAAGCATTCTCACTAGCAATTTCTTCAGGAATTGCATTCTCTAGTTTTATCATACTGTTCTGTACAGATGAGACTTTGTCATAGATGTATTTATATGTGTGCCTGTGATTATTTTACCGTCCTGTACAGATGATACTTTGTAATCAGATGTATGTATATGTGTGTCTGTAATTTTATACTGAATGTAAAGTAACTGGAAATACCTTTGTGTGTGTGTGTGTGTGTGTGTGTGTGTGTGTGTGTGTGTGTGTGTGTGTGTGTGTGTGTGTGTGTGTGTGTGTGTGTGAGAGAGAGAGAGAGAGAGAGACTCCTGTCCAACCTCCCACACTTTCTTTTTATGTGTGCATTGTTATTTGTGCTTGAGCAACATTTTACTTGAACTTTATTTCAATTAAATTAGTTGTAATTATTGTCCTACATTTTAATTTGGCCCACAGGCGGCATTTATCCAGCAGCCAGAACATCCATCTGTGCCTGCCCCCAGGTCAAGATCTACCGTGGCTCAAGGGCCTTCACCAGAGCCATCACCGCCAAGGACCAGCAGACCAGCATCACTACAGCTGCCTCCACCTCCATCTGCGGCTGCCACCAGGTCAAGATACACATCAGCACAAAGGCTCCACCACAGCCATCACCATCAACCCAGCCAGCAAGGAGGTCTCGTGGAGGTCTCGTATAGCACTTGTACCCCCCACCTACACAGCAGCCAGACCCACTGTCTTGGAAGACAGACAAAGACCTTGACACTGTCTTTACATTTATAATGAATAGTTGGTTGAAAGTTCTGATGTTCAATATTGTAAATAGTGAGATTTTCCAGTTTCTTATATTTATATAAATAGTTGGTTAAAAAAAACATATTTATAAATTGTTGGTTGAAAAAAAAAGTTTGAATGCTCAATTTGTATTTGTACACATCACATGAACCTTGGTATGTAATATGAAGTCATTATTCAGTCCTAATGTATCTCAGTCCCTGCTGTGGTGAAAGTAAAGTGATAAACACCTATTTTACTCAAAATTCAAATTTAATTTGTTTCATTTTAGACATGAATTACACATTTATATACAGTGTAATTCAAATATTCCACTACTTTTGTGATCCTAAGACTTTGGTAACCAAATCTAAAACACCAAAACAATTGGATGAAATTAGTAAATTTGTGTTTTCACAAGAGTTTTGAAGATTTTCCGAAAATCTGATGTAAAATGTTAAGCTTTAGAGCTACTTATCTCATCACACAGTGCTCTAAGGTGAGTAATTTGCATTTATAGCAAGACCAGAGATTGTCTGTTTGATATGTAACACATGGGGTGCCATGTTATAAGAAGTACATTTAAAAGGTGATTTAAGGAAACATCTAAAAATCGAGAAAATACCCTTAGACTCCAGAGGGTTAACTCGT